ATGAGGGCACATAGAGAATAACACAGTGCTACAAAAATGTACATTTAAACATTGCAACAACCAGGAAGGTAAAGGTAATTAAATGTGAGAATATTTATCCACGTTTTAAGAAATAATATTTGCGTTGTAAAAAAAATATTAATTTCAGGCTTGTTAACTTTTGAAAATGTTAATTGGGGTTGAATTAAAAATCATAATAGTGGCGCCCAACGGTTTAAAGAAGACGATTGTTACAAAATCAAAACTACCATCCCGAACCGTTTATTATTTTTTTTTAATTTTTTCGAGAAATAACTCTTCAAACTGAGAATGGCCAGAAAAAGGTTGGTATTTGATCGTTTTCGAAAGCATATCTTTTGTATTTGATTAAAGAAAACATCGTTGGCAAATGGCTTCACTTTAAGTAGTTACTTTAAGTGATAATCAAACCATTAGGATTTCTGTTAAACGCCGGAGCGAGTGATGATAGTAGCTGCAAAAAACTGCGAGTTTTTGGTTTCGAATCCACTTCTCTTTTCTTTTAAGTTTCAAAACGAATTTTTTTATTTTTTTTTCGAAAAATTATCTGAGAGAGTCATGGCAGAAGCTGCACCCAATTGCAAACTGGCATCGTCCATGGTTGCAAGGAACTTGGGCCGCCACAATTGACATTCTCGGAACCTCAAACTTTCGTTTTATGATTGTGATTAGAAAATGCCTCCGGTTCCATATGTTAGGTTAGCCAAAATGTTAATATTTCCAGGAAACGATTGCAAGAAGAACCACTATTGAAGCTACAAAATTCGTGTTGGCACATGTTCGGACAAACTTTTCCAGATTGAGCACCCTAATCAATTCTATCAGAAGTGTTCGTTTTCCCAAAAAACTAAGAGAGTAGTGATAGTAGCAACACCAAGTGCTAGCTGGTATCGTTCATGGTCTAAACTATGACCAGATCTGCCATCCTTCAAAGCTCAAACTTTCATTTTGGGATCAATGTCGAAATCATTTCAGAAAGCCAATGTGTCCATCAGTTTCCTGGCGCGTAAGTCAGAACTTTTGGTTTTGGCTACACCAATTCGCTCCAGGTTTAGTTATAGAATAGCCATTTCACCTATGTTAGTAATAAAATTTGATTTAATAAAAGGGCTTGTTCTTTGAAGTTTCAACGCGAAAGCTTTAGTTTTTTGCAAAGTGACTAAGATGGCCATGATAGTAGTTTCACTCAATTGCTAGCACGCAACATTTGTGGCTGGAGCTAAGACAAATTGTGTTAATTTTCAAACCTATAACTTTTGGTTTTCTGCTCCAGGGAAACAACTGAGTAAACCAAGACAGTAGCTGTACAAAATTGCAAATTGGCATAAGTTCGCACATACTACTCCATGTTGACCATCTTCTTCAATCCTTTTAAGCTTTAAAACGAAAGTTTTCATTTCATTAAAAAGCTGAGAGTTGTGACACCAATTGCTGATAACTTTCATGTTTGGATTAAGAACCATATTCGATATCCTTCGATCCTACAAATTTCGTTTTGTGATTACTGAAAACATTATTAAAAAATGCTTTCGCCTATAGTTTAATCTGAGGTCGAAAACTCTCGATTTCCGAGAAAACCTCGATATTAGTTACACAAAATTGCTAGTTTGGTCAGTTTAAGATCGGATCTATCAATCAATTCTTCCAATGTTCCAACGCGAAAGTTTTCATTTCCAGCAAAATGTTTGAGAGATAGAAGCTACAGCCGAGGTAGTAGATACAGCCAGGAAATAGGATGACGTCTGAAAATCTTGGAACCTCTAGCTTTCGTTTTTCTGTTCCTATTAATTTTCTTTTCCAGTAATAGAACTGAGAGAGTCACCATAGTAGCTACTCAAAATTTCGAGCCTTCAAGATTACAGTTATCCCAAAAAGTAGCTAAATTTAATTGCTTGCTAGCATTTTCATAACCTTCGACCTGCGACTTCGTTCTGTGATTACTGAAAACATGGTTAACAAATTGCTTAACTCCCTTCTGTTTCTTTAAGCTCAATCCGAAAGTTTTGGATTTCCAGGAAACGATTGGGAAAGCCATTATTGCTGGCATTGTTTTTATTCAGAACTAGATATTAATATAAAGAAAGACCGGGTGATCAAACGAACACACATGAAGCCATTATGAAAACTAGACTCAATTGTTAGCTGACATCGTTTATGTTTAGATACGGAGAGAGCCTCATCGACCGGTTTGCGGTGGTTAATTAGTGATTACTTAAAAAAACCGACACTCGTACCAGCCCTGCTCAAAAATCAGACCTCGTTTACCAGTCCAATTCCTATTAGTTTTTTAAAATCATCTAAAACCTAATGCTAAAGCATGATTTATAAATTTTTTGAAATTAATTTTTTTATAATTTTTAAATGTTCTCTTTTGCGGACTCATGTGCTATTCTAAAACTCGCCAAATTTCTATGCAAAAACTAAACTCGTACAGCTTACATTTATAGGGCAATCCTGTTTCGAACTGCGTCCAACTTCACGCGATTGTTGGAAAATGTATTTGGGAAAGTCCCTAAAAGCTATTTTATCACAAATTTTCACGTGTTGTGTAATTTACTGACACAAATATTAAAAAAAAATAAAAAATGGAAAGACAACGAGGACGAACCACTGTTGAAGTGAGAAATTTAGTAATTAAACATTACAAAAACCATAAATCGCCAAATGAGATATTTGAGATTGTTAATAGAAGCCAATCTACAGTTCAGTACATCAAAAAACCCTTCAAAATAGATGGATGTATAGAAAATAAGTAAAAAAAAAATGGCAAATAATAAAATATTTACCTTGAGTGATGAGAAGTATAGTTTACGATAGTTAGTATAGTTTAAAAAATTATCCATTTTTGAGTGTAAGGAAGCTCTCAAAAATTGCTAAAAGGATTTATGTTGCTCTCGAACAATAAGAAATATACTACATAAGTCGAATTACAATGGAAGAAGAGCTAGACATAAACCTCTAATCAGCAAGCACATATCAAGAGATTTTCCATTTTGGAAGAGTGTACTGTTCACGGACGAGAGCAAATTCAACCTTTTTGGTTCAGATGGCCGACCTTATGTATGGAGATAAGCAAATGAAGCGCTCCTTGCCAAAAATATGAAGCCTACAGTGAAGTGAAGTGGTGGGTCAGTAATGGTGTGGGGTTCATTTTCAGCCTCTGGACCTGGTGTATTGTATTTTATAGAGGGTATTATGGATCAGACTATGTACCTTAACATTTTGAAAGAAAGTTTGCCACTCTGTAAGGAAAAGCTCGGCCTTATGTATGGAGATAAGCAAATGAAGCGCTCCTTGCCAAAAATATCAAGCCTAGAGTGAAGTGAAGTGGTGGGCCAGTAATGGTGTGGGTTTCATTTTCAACCTCTGGACTTGGTGTATTGCATTTTATAGGATCAGACTATGTACCTTAACATTTTGAAAGAAAGTTTGCCACTCTGTAAGGAAAAGCTCGGCCTTGGTGAAGATAACAATTTTTTTTCAACACAATGATCCGAAACACAAGGCTTATAAAGTACGGTCATGGCTGCTATATAATTGTCCCCACGTCATGGATACACCAGCTCAGAGTCCAGACATAAACCCCATAGAGAATTTATGGAGCTATCTCGATGGCAAAATTCGCCAGCATTCCATATCTTGCAAAGTAGATTTGAAGAAAGCTTTGTTGGAAGAATGGCAAATAATTGAACTTGAAATTGAGCTTTTGCGAAAATCTTGTTAAAAGTATGCCAAATAGGCTACAAATGGTAAGAAAATTAAAGGAATGCACACAAAATATTAATGTCTAGAAATACTTTAAATTATACGAAGTGTACGAGTTTGCTTTGGCATTGAAATTTGATATCTTTTAATATTTATTTTTTTACTTTAAATGAATTAAAATGTTAAGTTTTTTGCTTTTAAATTACTTTTTTTTGTAAATTTTGATTTTTGGAAGTTATAAGAAAAATAAAATTTTTTCTTTAGCTGTACGAGTTTCGCTTGGAGCCACTGTATTTTTTATTTCGCTCTCCTGTTCTGTATGCTCAGTATTTGTTTGATGCTCTCTTAATTCAGCAATGTTCAATAGTAGTTCGTAGATCATGCACACGTATGAACGAATCAAACCGAGTGTTTGAAAATAAAAATGTAATCCGGTGCCAATCAATGACACTTAAAAGAATTTGAAGCAGTAAAATTCATGATTTTTTTTATGAAATTATCGGAAACACTGCTGAGTTCTGTTGATTCGAAGCCGGTCTCTGCTCGGAACCCCAAAGTTCGTTCTTCGTTAATTGAAATAGGATATCAAATATATAATCCACGATCCAATGCAGATAGAACAAAAGTCTTATTTTATTACAATATATTCGGATATGTGGAGGGTACTGGTAGTAAAATAATGAGAGACGGGACATTGGGTGATCTACATGATCAAATTAATACAGACAATAGTGTAGAATCATAATGATAGGCTTAATCGTCCATATTGGAAACTTTGGGCAACGTTCGTGGATAATTTTCTCACTTTTATACATAATTTATAAATAATTATATTTTTTTGGATTGTCATAACCTTACTTTCACCTAGCCTACATCAAACTATAAATTTGACTTTGTAGTACGATATTTGTAGCACTGTGTTGATAGTTAAGCACTGTTTGTTTGGGATATTTTTTTTTAAATTCAGGTTAGTTTCAGGTTCAGAAGCGGGGAAAGCGGGGTCGGAAAGGTAATGCTTTCCATTCAAATGTGGGTTAGTTCAAGAGAAACAAAAAATGAAATAACTACAATTACTAATTCCCTGCTGGCAAAATTAGTGTTAGTTTTCAAATCAGTTAAATTCAACAACAATTAATTTAACTATTTTCTTATATTTTTGTTAATTAAAAAAAAAAAATAACTCAAAAAACGAGAACAGCTTAACTGTTATACAATTTATATAAATGTATATGTATATATATAAAATATATAATATATATGTCAAAATTAAGGCTTACTTTATGTAGTGTGGTTTGTTCTTCTAGCTGCATCTAATAGTTTTTTATTTGTTCGGTTTTGGTATTGGTATTGGTTTAAATATTTGGTTGTGGTGGTGGTTGTGGAGATGGAACGGTGGTTATTATTTGGTATTGGTTGGTTGTATTTAAGAGGAGTAGAGTAGTAAATAGTTGTATTATTTGGTAGTAGATATTGTTGTTGTAGTTGACGATGTTGATGATAAAGGCAGTAGTAGGAGTAGGAGGAGTTGTAGTAGATATTCGATAAATATGTTGGAGTAAATAGAATATTTTTCAATGTGAAAAAAAAAAAACAATAATGAAAAAAAGGAAAAATCGTATAAGTATAGAGCAATTTAACATTTAGAGGTATGTATAAGAGATATTCATATACTATAGATACAATATGTATACATAGAGAAATATTTATATAGTTGATATGTATTATTTTTTTATATTCACAACACAAGTAACATTTATCATGGAAAATAGTTTTCTTTTTTTTTTGGGATAGGTGATCAACATATACTACAGTTTTCATTTTTGTTTTTTTTTTCTATTTAATAGCAACATAATTAATAATTCTCTTATACCTGAGATCTTTCCAAATCATGTTTAAGGCGTTCATTTTCCAATTCCAAACGGGCTATACGCTGTTTTGTGGTCTCCCAATCGGCATTGCTGCGGCCCATTTCACAGGTGGCCTTCTCCAGCTCAGCCTTCGATTTGCCCAGTTCGCTTTGTGATGCCTCCAATTTGATTTCCAAACGTTCACGTTCGGTAACGGCACGCTCCAAACGGGTGTTCAGCTTTTCCACTTCGCTTTCCAGAGCTCGCAGCTTGATCTTGTAGTCGGCAATTTCACGCTCATGCAGTTCACGTTCTTCTTGCTTTTCGTGTTCGGCACGATCTCGCTGTTCTCGTAGTTGAGCCATTTGCTTTTCTTTGTCGCCAATGGCCTCTTCGAGACTTGTGAGAGCGCCCTCAGAACTGCTATGATGAGCTTGCATTGCCGACAGACGTGCCCGGGCCATATCCACCTGATTATCCTTCTCCTTAAGCAAATCTTCAAGATTTTCAATCTACAGAAATTATTGTTAAGAAACATCATCATCATCAAGAGGGGTGGGGGGGTTGAAGGGTGTGGTTCGGTTTCCAAAAAGAAACAAAATAATATGAAATTTTTTTGATTAGGATTATTTGGTTTTCTAATAACACGTCTACTTGTCAATGTCAAACTACAAAAACAAAAAAACACCTTTCTCTGCAGCACACATATTTTACGATCCTTGATTTCCATGTGATCCTTTAGCTCGGTCAGCTCGCTTGTCAAACGGTTGCGTTCTTGTACCGTTTGCAGTGTGCCCTGCGTTTTCTTCTCCAACAGGCGGTTCTTCTCCTCGAGGCGCGCCCTCAGCTCTTCAACATCAGCCTGCAGCATATTGTAGTGTTCCTCCTTGGCACATAGTGACTCCTTCAACACCGCAATATGCCGTTGGTAATCCTGTTATAAAAATTGAATTTTGTAAAAAATTATATTTCGAATAATAAAGGTACAAGGCTTTCGAACACACTACGACGTTTTGAACGTAGGGAATAGTTAACGCGAATGATATCGAGGGATTGAAGGTATCTACATTTTTATTTGGAAATTGTTAAAATTTGATTGAAAATCAAAGCAACAAGTGAACACGTGCGTTGAACCAAATTGCGCGTTAAATATAAAACAACAACCACAGAGACACTTTCCGTATCGGTCATTGTGGTTGTTGTTTTTCGATAATATTTAATGCAAACAAATACAAGTAAAAAAGCAATAAGTTCGGCCTGGCCGAAGTTTGGGTTCCCTCCACCATTTGGAACGAATTTGGAAATTTTCAAAAAAATAAAATCCATTAAAAATTTTGTTAAAATCTTAAAAATACCCAATACACATAGCCGTTATATTGGGGTCTATACGAAGACATCGACCTGCCATTGCAATATTCAAAAACGAAATCCAGTGAATAATGTAGTTAAAATCATAAAAAATCGGGGCTATACGAAGACCTGGACCTGCATAGACAAAAAGTGCTTTGACAATTAGTCAGGACTAAACTCTAGTTTAGTAAAAAGTCTATTTTTTTAATTTTTTCCAGAGGTTTCGGACCATAATTCGGGGAAAACATTTTTTTCCTGGGCGATGGACCCAGATACTCGGATATTTGACCCGGATCTACTAAACAGCTTTGGGCAATCATTAATGCATCATTATTGAAAATACCTATCGAACAATAACAATATGTTGAAAACGGTTCGGGAGTTTTATCCAAATATTTAAAAAAATCCCCCAAAAGCTCGAATTATATTTGAAACTATAACTTATCCAAAATGCTCCAGTATGTATCATTGTCTTTGTTATATCCACACATATGGGTCTTTGAACCCTGTCTACCGGATTGTGTTCAGTACATTGAATTGATGATTTCAGTATAAAAATCTTTAATTCTCGCAGCTGGTGCTGGACAACCCAGAGGAGAAATTCACAGGACCCGGCCTATGGCTTGCTATTTAAAAAACGTATATTTAGAAATTTTTTAATTACCGTAGCCGGTTTTGGTCATAGACAGAGGAGAAAATCTCAAACCCCAGTTGGAGGTCGGCTACCTAAAACGGCATCAAATTTAGAAAAAAATTTGGTAGGATAGGGTTGTCTGGCTTCAAAAACCAATGTCTATGGATCCTGGAAAGATAAATGCACATGTTGTAGCATTTTGGAGAGATTAGGGCGTGAGCTATAGTATTTTTTACGGATTCCCGTAATGAGGTCTTTTTTACTTTTTTGGGTCTTATAAAAAATTCGGCACAAAAAAATCGATAATTGAGTTAAAATTTTCGAATCATCGACGTCGTTATGAAATACCAAATCAGTGTCGACAACAATTGATACCATCCCAAAAGTGACTGCGCCGCCAAATAGAATAAGGGCGATCCATCCTTTGCATGCATATTAATCACCAGGCCATGATGGCATCAACTGACTTCTGCCTGTAGAAGTTTTGCAATCGCTGTCTTGTATTATCCCACATTCGTGTACTGTCGAGAAGGGTAAGAGAGGTAAAAGGATCCTAACCTATGGAGCTCTAGTCTGGTGGCATTCTTTGAGTAAATCATCGCATTCCTACTAATAACCGGTGCATTCAAGAGCACACCTCAATCTGCACTGGACACCCTACAGTGCGTAAGCCCATTAAGTGTACACTTAGAGGAACAGGCAATTAGGTGTGCACTTAGACTCAAAGAACTAAACCATTGGCGCTGTCAATCCTTTGGACATTCTGCGAATCTAGGGTGTGTAAGGAATGTGAGGGAGGAAGCCAGCACTAGTGATTACATCTCACCACGGTTGTGCTTTGACGCACCTGACATCCACATACCTGATATGGACACCTGGGCCCATAACAATCTACCTTTCTGCGGTATTGCTGTCTATACTGACGGTTCAAAGATTGAATGCGGAACGGGAGCTAGTGTCTTCTGTGACAATCTTAATGTTCACGAATCCTACAAGCTTAGAAACGACTGTAGCGTATTCCAGGCGGAAATTTTGCGGTCAAAAAAAGCCCTAGACCTGTTGGTAATGCAGAACAACCAGGTTAGCAGTCCGGTACTGAAAGCCCTAAACTCCTCTACTATCAAGTCTAAGGTTGTTTTGAACTGCAGAAGATCCTTGGAAAATACTGTGTTGTCCATCCATCCATTAACTTAACCTAAGGTAAGGGAGGTCACTTCCGCTATTTCTGCTTAAAAATTCAAAAAGTTTATTGGACTTCAAAATGACATCATACCGTAGGTGTTGGCTAGTTAGGAATTTGCTTCTCAGATGGATAGAGGTCTTAATCTCAATATAAGTTTGCGGCGTTTATACAACCTCCACCTATATTAACTTTGTCATTCATTTGTAACATTCCTAAAAATTCGCCGTAGACCAGCAAAAAATTCTAAGTCGATTTAACCGCTCGTCTATCTGTTGAAATCGCGATAGAGCCCACATTAAAGTAAAGCTTTATTTAGCAGAACAATTTGTATTGTGTCTAGGATGGTTGGTTTTAAAAATTTTATATAGGTCAACGTTTTCGTATAGTCCCCATGTAGCAGTACCTCCCGATATTCGGTATTTTGATGATTTTTGACAAATTTTTCCATTGATTAGTCTTAAAATTGGTATTTGCAGGTCATAATGGGTTATAACTCCGGTGGCGAAACGTTGTATGTATAGGTCAAACCTTTTGTTAGCCTCCATATAAAGGTACCTCCCGATATTCGGTATTTTGATGATTTTCACCACATTTTTTCACGTTATTGTCTAAAAAATGGTATTTGTAGTTTGTAATGGCTTCTAGCTCTGGGGGCGAAACATAGTATATATAGTTCCACGTTTTTGTGTAGGCCTCATATAACGCTCCCACACATTATTTGACGTAAAGCTTCATTTAGCAGAACAATTTGTATTTGGTCCACGTTTTCGTATAGTCCCCATATAACGCTACCTTCGATATTCGATATTTGGATGTTTTTTGCCACATTTTTCACGTATTTGTCCAAAAATTGGTATTAGTAGTGCGTGATGGGTTCTAGATTCTTTGGCGGAACATAATATGTATAGCTTCACGTTTTCGTATATCGCACATATAACGATACCCACCCACGAAATTGTTTCAAATTTGCTATTTCAGAAGATTTGGTAGATGACAATCCTTGAAAGTTGTCTAAAGAGGGTCCCGTTCTGGCATGGCCCCCATATAACAGCCTTACCCACTTTATGGTATTTTGAAAAGTTTAACAGCATTGTCCAGACGGTCTTACTGGTATTTGTAGTTTAAAGTGGAACACGTTTGAATTCATTTACTTTTATATAAAAATGTTTTCTTTACCCAATGATGCAAGGTATTAAAAGTTCCGAACGGGCGAAGTTATTTACTTGTTTGTTATCAATAATTTGAACAATTTCCAAATAACTACATTTCAGAATGTAACAAATGCTAAGACGGTCACTAAATACTTAAGGTAATGCAATTCTACTTTTTCTTTAGTTTAATTAATTTATTTTCGTTTACCTGATGTTGTTCTTCCAATGTTTTCATTTTGGCCGCCATAGCCAAAATTTCTTGATCCCTCCTCTGTATTTCAAGACGGAATTCGTCCAACTAGATGATTTTTTTTTTAATTTTTGTTTTGGGAATACAAAAAAGATTCAATTGAAAAAAAAAAACATAAAAAAGTAGAAAAAGAAGACATTTTAGAAAATTTTCAATATTTGTTGTTATTGTTTCTTTGATTAGTAAAAACAATTAGACACAGAAGAGATGTCATGAGAATTACTTTGTGGTGATAATCAATGAAGTTCATGTTAATGAATGAAATTCAAACGATCGATAAACGTTCGAAATGGTTAGTCAGTCGTCGTCCATTGTTGTTATGTGTTGGGTCACAATGAAAGAAAGGAAACTGAAAAATTATGGAAAAAGTTTTTGAGACATTTTCTACAAATTGTGTTCGGATGTCGGCACTAGGTATTGTCCGGTGGTCATTTGTCCATTGCTTGTAGTGTTTTGTTTTCCAACATTCAACATTTCCGTTGACTTTGTTACCCTGTTTCTGTTGATGTATGGCTAAGATATCCTAGCAAAGGTTCAACTTAAGGAAAGAAAAAAGGACAGCTTGGCCAAAAAAAAAAGTTCTAGACAATCTTCGAAGTCAATGATGGTTGATGGGTTTGTTTTTGTAAGTATATTTATTGTTTTATTTATTTTTTGTTGTTCTTGTTTTGTTTTTTTTTTTTTGCTTTAATTACGGAAATTTATTTTGTAATAATACTTTTCTAGTTTAATATTTTTGTTATATCAAATATTCGTTTGTTGTTGTTATTTTTTTTTCCTTCTTTCTTTCGACAAATACAATAGTTGAGTTGAAAGTTTTTTTTTGTTGTTGTTACTTTTTCTGGTTTAGCTTGAAAATATTTGCGTTTTTTGTTGTTGTAAATTATTAGAAAAAGGAATACAAACACAGTTAGGTTGCTTGAGATACATAACTTATGCGGTAAATGCAAAACTCTTATTTTTTTATTTTTCTATTTTTTTTTTAGGTTATGTATGATATAATTATCTAATTGCTATATTATGCTTTGCTCATTTATTTATATTTGCTAAGTTATTATTTAATAATAATTATGTATCTATGTTGCTGTATGTGTATATGTTTATGAGTATATATTTTAAATATTTATAATGTTTATTATATTAAGAGGCAGTTGCATACACATGTGAGGGTAAATCCAAATCAAAAAAAAAAAAAAAAAATTGGGACTTCCTTAAAAGGGGAAAATAATTGAAACCAATTGACAAAGCCTTTAAAATTGTAATGTGTTGGATTTACTTGGGATTTGTTTAATACTTTGTACACACTTTCTACGGCTAGTAAAAGCATTACACATATGTATTTTGTTGGCCCCAAAGTGAATTTGAGAGTTGTAAAAATAATACACGGAGAACTAAAATAACCCAATTTTTGCTTGGTCAAAACTAAAGCAACTTTTGATTTTTTATTTTAAAATAATTACATAACCATTATTTTTGATATCAACTGCACACCTACGATGCATTGAATCTATAACAGGCACAATTTGATCCTTGGGTATGCTTTCCCAGGCACCCTGAATTATTTGGAAAATGTTGTGTTTATTTGTTTCCGAATATCGCTTGATCTTCCTGTCTACGATACTCCAAAGTTTTAATACGGGGTTTAGGTCAGGTGATTGTTCCGGCCATGAAAAAATACCGATTTTTGGCTACCGCTACCAATCTTTGACAAGTTTTGATGCATGTTTGGGATCATTGTCATCTTGAAACACCTAAATAAACCGAATATTTTCCTCTGCGAAAGGATGTTCAACACATCTTTGTAAACAAACCGATCCATAACTTCCTTTATTTCATGGGTAGGCCCAAGTCCATAGAAAGGCTTGAATCTTTAAATTTTTGGTCTTCTCACCGTAAAATTTTCCATGTCCCAGCCTGTAATATTAAACGTAGACTCATCCCAGAGTAAAATGTTTTTCCATTGAGCTGGTTTTTCCATATGGCTAACGGCATGCAGACCAGCTGCCACTACTCGTCAACGCACTGATCTCGAGCTTATATCCAATGACAGCTCTCTCACCCATTCACTTGAACTCTTAAATGGTGTTTTTTATTTCTCTCACAATTTGTTGATCAGTACGGGCTGAAGTTTTTACGGCCTTCATCCGTTATAGACTGTTACTACTGATCCAGTTTCTTAAAACCGTCTTAGTATACTCGAAATCACAGAAATCATTTTCTGCGATATCCTGTTTTCACAGTCAAACACAACAAACACGTGTTGTTGTAAAATATGATTTAGGACAAGCGTAATTGTTGAAGAAAGCAGAAGGCGATAATTATAACAGTAAAAACAGCTGAAATTGCAGAGATCATAAGAATATACAACAGAGTTGCTTTTGTTTTGTCGAAGCCAAAATCAGGTTATATACATTATTTTTTACACAAAAATCAATTTTGGTTTTTTGGTGAGAATTTTCCAGGAATAAAGTTATTCGTGATGGAGTTCAAGCGTGATAGTGCGATTTCTTTATATTTGGTTGGAAAACCACAAGCGGCTATCGTTACAGCACTCATGCATTTAAATGTGAATAAATCTTTTATGTCTCGTACCATCGCTCGTTACCTTGATACTGGTGACGTAGCCCGACGTCAAGGAAGTGGACAGAAGAAAACAGTAACATCAGCATAATAATGGCTTATGAGCTGAACATATCACTAGTGAGCTGAATGTCCATTCCGGCAAATATTAAAAAATGAGCTTGGGCTGAATTAATTAAGAAAATAGACTCAAAAGAGGTAAAGAGTTGCTTCGCTTGGCCGAAAGTGGTGAACTGCCGAATTTGGTTTTCTCCGATGAAAAAACATTCGTTGCCCAGCAGTTTGTAAACAAACAAAATGGTCAGCTGAAAATTTGCACCTTCGGTCGGCCACCAGAACTCAAGCGCCGACCATGGTGATGGTGTGGGCAGCCGTTACAGCCGATGGTCGATCTCAGCTCGTATTAATCGACCGTGGCATCAGAATAAATGCCGAATATTATCGCGAAAATAGTCTGGAGGGCCATTTTGGCCGCAGACCTTGGACATTCCAACAGGACTCAGCACCATCGCACTAAGCACGCGCCACACAAGAATGGTTACAAAATGAGATTCCTCGCTTCATTTCCAGCGCACAATGGCCACCAAAATCTCCGGATACCAATCTGTTGGACTATTGTGTCTGGAGTATTTTGGAAAGCAAGGTTGACACCAAAAAATACCAAAGTGTCGATCACCTCAAGCAAATGCTTCGCTGGGAATGGGCCAAAATACCGTAGAGCAACATTCGGGCTGCGTGTGACGGTTTCATTGGTCGTTTGAAGGCCATAATTCGTGCCAAAGGTGACTAATTCGAACAAATCTAAACTTATTATAAAATTTGATGCTATTTCCGACATTGTTGGCTTTCATTCAATAAAAGTTACAAAAAAATGTTGCAGTTTTTTTATCTCACCCTGTATATGAGAGCTATATCTAAATTTGAACCGATCTTGACAAAATTTTAAATGTTTATTTCTGAGCTGTATCTGAAATTCAGTACTAAAGATTTTTGTTGCGGAGTGCATATTACTCATGTGAGGAAATTAAACCCCCACATTGGATGTAGAATTTCAAAGTACTGGCTTCTAGTCGGAATTATCAAGATTTAGTTCATTTGCGCCGATGTTAGACATTTGGTGCACAGTAAACCTAATAATGGAGACAGATATATAAGGGAGCTATATCTTAATCTGATCCGATTAAATATAACGGAAGTATTTTTGACCTCCATAAGTTATCTGGTACCAAATATAATACCGAAGTGCATATTACGCATGTGAAGGGCTTAAAATCAAAAATCGGATGAAACATCTATATGGGAGCTATAGTTTTTTTCTGAATTTTGATTATATCTTAAAATTTTATGTACTTGCTTCTAGGCTGAATACGGTCGGATTTGCCAAAATTCAGGTCATTTGGACTGATATTAACCATTTGGTGCACAATTAACCCGAAATCGGTTGAATATATATATGGGAGCTATATTTAAATTTCAACCCATTCTCACCAATTTCAATAGGGTTCGTCCTTGGGCCAAACAAATATTGTTTGAAAATTTTCATCCTAATCGGATAATAATTGCGATCTGCATTTTGTTTACAAAAATACATGGACAGACGGACTGATATGCATAACTCCACTCCGAAAGTGATTCTATGAAGATCCTCAAAAGTAACTTTGGAACTATCTCGTTTCCTTCTACATGTTACAAACAAATGCACAAAGACATAATACCCTTACAACTATGTGGTGTAGGGTATATAATAGTTAAAAACTAAAATTATTTGCCGTTCCGAAGAAAGGTCGCGTCTTTTCTCGTTAAAATTTAACACCATCAACATTGAACGAAATTTATTTTTTTTATGAATTTATACTAAATTGAACTAGGACAGGTACTATGTGGGCTAAAGGAACTAGATGAATCTAAGAACTGGATATACACTGGTGGCCAAAACTAAAGCAACTGCAATTACAAGGAGAATGAATGCCCTGTAACTCATTTAAAAATTAAGAAAATGAGAAAGTTTTTCTTGTCTTAAATTAGGCACTTTATTCACTTTTTAAAACCCCAAAACAAAAAACCAAAATTAATTTTTATATAAAAAATAATGTATGGTAAATTCAATTAACCCGATTTTGGCGTGGACAAAACAAAAGCAACTTTGTTGTATATTCATATAACCGCTGCAATTTCAGTTGTTTTTACTGTGATATTTATCGCTTTTTGCTTCCTTCGACAATTTTGCTTGTTATAAATCCATTTTGAGAAGTTTTTTTACAAAACCATGTGTTTTTCTTCTCGTTTTTTTAAGTACTACCCAAAAAAAATTTAAAAATGGCTAGAAGCAAATACAGCACCAGCAACAGCAAATTATCACTATGAAGACAACACATCAAAGAAAATGATTTCCGAGAAATATTTCATAAATATTTATGTGATTTCATAATTATTTCTGTATACTAAGTCGGTTTTTTGAAACTGGATCA